TAATTCAATTCCTCTCTTGAGTCTTTATTTCTGGCCCTGACAAGGCCACAACAATATGTCATCCTTTTTACCCAATATTTTCCAGATATATGATATATATATATATATATATATATATATATATATATATATATATATATATATATATAGGGGGCAACAGATCATTATTCAAACAAATATTGTTAAATATAACAGACAAAGAATGTCTATTATGTTTTATCATGAGCCTTTCCAAGAGTTCTATATGACTTTAGTTTCAAGAGAAAATAAAGACAAAAACTGTCCAACACTTGGATATTTATTTATTCTATTGGTCGTCGATATAAGCTTTCAGCTCACATGAGCCATCATCAGTGTGGTTATATGGACATTACAACAGAGTTGTTCACCGTCAAATATGACATCCTGTCATGCTTACATAGAAGTTTGCTATGCGAGGATAACGGTCGCGTAAGAGCAGACGCAGGTGGTAAACCGGTAATGTGGTTCCATGATGTCATACATAGCCACGTGAGAGAAAGAAATGTTATCAAAGAGAACCATATGTTTACATAAATTGTAATATGTAAACCATATATATATATATATATATATATATATATATATATATATATATATAAACAAGTAATTCATCGAGACTGAAACCTCAACAGAATGCAGAAACACTGGTGGCCGTTTCGTCCCATATTTGGGACTCATCAGCAATGCGCATCCTCTACCGAGAATTGAAACCCTGACAGTTAGGTTGTCAAGCAAACATTCTACCAACTGTTCCTCGGTGACGAAGAGATAGCAAAATCAGACTCAATATAGCGCCGCTCAATCACATATTCCGTGGTGGAACTCAACTGAGATTCTCTCTAACCATAGGACTGTGCCTCCTGGAGCCACGACTACTCTCACCAAGCCGCGTTTTCTAGAGCATTAGAAGCCAGTTCAAGCAATGATATACACATGATAGAAATTAATAGGATGCGCACTGCTAATGAGTCCCAAATATAGGACGAAACGGCCGTCCAGTGCTTTTTGCATTCTATTGAGGTTTCAGACTCGATGAATTACTTAAATATAATTATCTAATCCTCCTAGATTTCTATCATATATAATATATATATATATATATATATATATATATATATATATATATATATATATATATATATAGTGGGTCCCATTGCTATTAAGCATTATTCTTCAAGAACGAATTGAGTTCTCCGGGTCGCTGGCGTATTTCGTATAGATGAAAAACTTTAAAATTCCCTTCCTTTCTGTCGTGCAATGATGGCCTAGGGTAAATATATATGACTGATGTCAAATCAGTCTGGTTGAAGCAATCGGTCGGCTAGCCACACTGAGGAGCTATTATACAGCGACACAGTCTGTCCGTGGATGAAAATCTCTGGTCCCGGGAATCAGGTTGAGCTTTCGAAAGAAAGGGGGCTTTAAAAACAGGCTCTTCTACTGCTATTACTCATCAAATACCAGTTGTGTTCACCGAGCCGCTAGCGTATTTCGTATAGAAGAAAAACGTTAAAATACAATTCCTTTCTGCCGTGCGACGATGGCCTACGCTTAAGATATCTGACAGATGTCAAATCAGTCAGGTTTCGATCCCACCATCTTGAAGCAATCGGACGTCTAGTCACACTGAGGAGCTGCGAAACACCCTGTATGTGGATGACTATATATATATATATATATATATTTATATATATGTATATATATATCTTCCTCTATTTCTGCGATGAGGTATTATGTACACTATTTACATTGCACGGGCTATCATCTTCCTTGCCATATCTATCCCAACGTTTCGGCCGTTGTACGCTCCGGCATCCTTCAGGTGATTGGAATGTCGAACAGAACCATTTATTTTGCTCTCTGGGTTAGACTGTTCTAGCTCCACGTGCCATGTCTAGAACAGTGTATCCCAGCGAGCGAAATGAAGTTTTCAGTTGGACATTCCAACAACCTGAAAAAGGCCGGAGCATCCAACGGCCGAAACGTTTGATAAATATGGCAAAAAAAATGAGGATGATAGTCGAGCAATCTAAATATATATATATATATATATATATATATATATATATATATATATATATATATAATATATATATAGATAATATATATAATATATATATATATATATATATATATATATATATATATGCAGAAATTTCCAAGAGGATAGAATCCAGGTAGAGAACTCAATGTCCAGGACAGACCAAGAATATAATATATAAGGCTCAAACACGTTTGAGCCGTTCATATATATATATATATATATTGGACATGCACTCTTACACTACAAAGACAAATTGAAAGACAACTCGAAACGTCTCAACTTTGATCTGAAAACGTGGCGTAAGGCATGTTTCCTTAAGTTGAAGGCTTTTGAAGACAGTAGACTGAATATATATATATATATATATATATATATATATATATATATATATATATATATATATTTAAAAATATTGAGGGTTCGATGTATTTACTGTTCTGCTTGTATTTTGTTGCACATCCATGCAAAAAAAGAATAGCGATACAACATTGGTCAGTCATTGTCTGATTGATAAAAAGCTGGATGAGGCCGCTGTTATATGTTTTGCCAGTTGCTCTCTAATATTCTTTGGCCATTTTTTCACTTCTGATTTCGAAAGTATATATATATCCACCATTTTAGAAATTCGCTTAGAACTTTAACTAAAAAAAATCTGGTGGTTGTTATATGCACAGTCAGCGATGGGTAAATTTTTACCATTTTTGTTTTTAGATTCGCGCATGCGCGTTTTTTGTTTTTGATTTTGTCAACTGCACATTAAAGCAGGTTCAGCTGGGCACTATCTGTATAAAAAAGAAAACCATGACAAAATTCACTGCGGTAAAAACTTGTCAACGGCATGCTGTAATACTTGGCATTCGCGCCGGAAGCTTCAAGATGAAAATTTTAGAGTGTTTGGGTGTCAGTTCGATGACAAGAAGATTTGGAAAGAGTTGAATGGTGATTACGAATGTAGGACAGCTCGGCAAAATCACTCTGATCGTTCTGATCGGAAACGAACTCCAGAATTTGTTGGTGATGGCCTCAGACTCAATACGGGGGTCTAAATCAAGTGACTTGAGGAGGTAGTGCTGCCTTGGATTAAGAGGGTAGATACTGAAAGCCACTATGTAGGGCAACAGAACTCTACCCCATGCCACACAAGCAGGAGGAACCATTCATGGCGGGCAGACAATTTCTGGGACTAGATTGTCCCTCACGTCTGGACACTTAACTCACCGACACTGCATCAAACTAGGTATTTGGGGCGCATTTGAACGAGTGACCAAAAAAATCTCATTGTAACAACAAAGATGAACTGAAGGCAAGGATTATGGCACCATTCACTAACTTAAACAAGTAGACCCTCCAGAAGAGATGCAAGAGATTTTAGTGAATAAATTTAACGTTTAGTATTTAAAGATATTTTGATTAATTTAGATAAATATATCTGTTAAAATGACATGTCAGTACTATTTTCATTTTTGCGTAATTTAGACGACAATTTATCCATCGCATACTCTCTCTATATATATATATATATATATATATATATATATATATATATATATATATATACATGAATTATTCACACAAAACTAATGCAAAGGTTAATGATTTAAATGGCGAGACATCCATCTCGCAAACAATTCAAATAGTACACAAAACCTCCAGATCCGTTATGAATGAATTGATCCTTGTTTATATAAATTTCTGCCGTATTAGTTGTTATTTTTACTACAAGCTTTCGTCTGTTCCTACAGACATCTTCAGGTATATAATAGATGTTGTTCTTGTTTTTTTCTCTTAGTAATAAGAGGACATCGAAAATATATGTGTATTGTATCCGAAATGCTATTGAAAATGAGATATTGGTTTTTGTGAGCAGATATGAATGTACGTGAGAGATTCATAGAAGATACAGTAATTCAAATACCGTAAATTCGACCTTGCTAACCAAACGCGCCTCTGTGGCCAAATCGGTAAAGGCACGTCAAGCAAAATGACGGTTCCGTATAGGATACATATAGAAAGGCGAATATTTTCTGTGAAAATTTCTCAGATATTCAGGCCGGTAAATGTTGTTTAACACTGTTTATTATAAACAGAGCATTTAATTTAAATATTTGTATCGATAAACGCAATGTATAAAAATAAATATATCATATATATATATATATATATATATATATATATATATATATATATCATATATACATATATATATATATATATATATATATATATATATATATATATATATATATATATATATATATATATATATATATATATATATATATATATATATATATATATATATATATATAAATAAATATATATATATATATATATATATATATATATAAAATATATACAGGTACGTTGTAGGTACACATGGGTTAAAATTCAAAAACACTATTCTTAAAATACTCAATATCAAGTAGAGCTAATAGTATTAGTCTTGGTTTCAATATATAAATATATATATATATATATATATATATATAGAGAGAGAGAGAGGCTATTTCCCATATGAGGTGATTTGAGACCTTATTGTTTATTAATTATTTTGATCTGTAATAATAAATACATTGAGCACTTTTTGTAGATCAAGTTTTTTATATTTTTATATTATTAAAAATCACTTGGATTATATACCAACGTATTTATTTATATTTATATATATATATATATATATATATATATATATATATATAGAGAGAGAGAGAGAGAGAGAGAGGTGAGAAAGAGAGAGATAAAGAGGAAGCGATAGAAAGAGGAGGGTCCTTAAATGTTATAAACAATGTTTATTTTCCTTCTTTACCGTTTCTGTTCCCCTGAAGTAATTTTACTAAAATAGTTTCAGGTTTTCCTCTTTCCGTCTCCAGTAACGATCTCACAAGTGCAAGAATCTTCGTTGGAAGCAGAAAGGGATGTCGTATACAGATGCAAG